TTTTGAATAGCAGGGTCGTCTGTAATTGTATCTGTTGATCCAAAGTAGTAAGATTTCATGGCATTCCTTGAAAGTATATGAATTATTGGAAAATTCTGCATAGATAACTTGCATATGTATAGCTGACTTTAAAATTATCAATATGACAGAGGAATGAAAGAAAATTCATATTGTAGGATGCTATAGTTACTACTTCACGTTATTGTAACAACATTTTGTTTTATAACCCCTACATGCAGAAAAATATGAAAAGATATGTAAAATATTATGTGGGCTAAGAGATAATTTATTAATCAATTAAAATAAATATAATCTTAACATTTGTTAGAACTTCACATTTCCTAGTAAAGTTCCAAACATAGCAATAAAAATAATTACAACTAGATGAACTAGTCATATGTATTATCCAAATTTTAATTATATCATTAAATTAATAGGAGAATAGTTCTACAATTTGGAAAAGTTGAAAAGTGGCAAATGAAAATATACATTTTCATCAATCAGCAATATTATTATAAATTAAAATTCCACAGTTGAGAATAATCATGTTGTTCACAGAAAAAAGATATTAATGAATTATGAAGTATTGAAAATTTGGTAGTGCTTGTGTGTAGTTGGTATGAGAAGCAAATATTATATTATAAATCACTGTTAGCTTAGAAAAAGCAATACTAGCTTATTTTTGGAGAAGTTCAATTAACAGATAAGAAATAATACAGTAGTCACTTAAAAATATTCTTTGATTAAACCACATTTAGTTGGCAGTAATAGAAAACACCCTTAAGAATTTGAATGATATTACATTTACATAAGAGATATTGATAAGATTTTTTTGAAAGCATTATTGCACAAATGAATTAACAGAAGAGATAGGATTACATATGAAATTCATAATTGTAAAAATTAAAAACTGTATTTTTATTCTGCTAAAAATATAAAGATCTATGGAATAAAAATAGTAAAAATTAGTCTCTTAGGTGTAAACTGAACATACTCGGAAAACTATAAAGAGAAAGAGGAAGAGAGTTTATGAGAGAAAGGCAAAGAGAAAAATATATCTAATCAGAAGTTTTAACTACAGTTTATCTTCTAAACCTATTGCATCTGATGGCATATTCTTGGTGAAATATTTTTAATAATTTTTTGTTTAAAGAAATATTTCACTTACATTCTTTGGCCAATCTAACAAATAATGACATCATTACAAATATCAAAAAAGATAAAAAACACACAACCATGTGATTCTGTCATTGTTTCCCGTGTTTCAAAAACTTACTGTAACAAAAAAAATTCAGTAACAAAAATACATAATACATTAAGCATTTATTACAATGTCTCGTTAATGGCTTATTCTACTAGAAGACAAGTCAATGATTTTCATGCTCACGGGAATGGTACAATTTTAACACTTGAATCTCCTGTTAGAGTCTCTTGCTACTCCCAAAGGATAATTTTTTTTTTTTTTTTAAAAAATTGGAGCTGATATGTGATTTTTTATATAAACATATAGTTTAGAACATTAATAACATATATTTTAAGGAAAACAATCTCTGTTATCAATATTATACTTTCGCAATACTTACAATTTTCAAAAATTTATTATTATTCCTTGGTACAGAATTACAAACTGAATGACAAAACTTTAACAATAAGGTGATTAATGATTTAAAAAACCGGTGTGAAGGTATCTTCTCTTCTTCTACATATGTAAAAATGGATGATGATATAAGAACGGTAAATTCCAACACCGTGTGACCGATCTCCACGAAATTGGCACATCTACGTGTTTTTTCATTCAGAAGGTTTATGTGCTGTTAATTCTGTTGTAAGTCCACTAGATAGCGATGCAGAACAAGATTGCGCTTATTTTAATTCAATTGCCTTTCAAGTTGCGCTACACCTGGGCTTTCATTGTTCTTGAGCGTTGCCACGGAGAGAGACCGAGAAAGGGAGGGACTGGGACAGAGAGACGGAGACAGACAGGTGGAGAGGGAGAGGGAGAGGGGGGAGAGAGAGAGGGAGAGAAAGAAAGAAAGAGAGAGAGAGAGAAAGGGAGAGAGAGAGAAAGGGAGAGGAAAGGAGAAAGGGAGATGAAGAGTAGAACGTCTGTCGGGTTCCGCTAGTAAATTTATATAATTCCATACATATAAGAACAAATGCATAGTTCACAGGAAAGATAGCGTACCCAAGGAATTAAAATAAGTTGTTTACAGAATAAAATGTAAACATTTCCATTCATACATAGGTGAGACAATCCAACAACTTAAGCAGCGTGTGCGAGAACATACGAATAATATCAGACAACCAGATTTTCGGCATAATTCAATAACTTAAGCTCAGACTTGAAACGAGGCATAGCTTTAATTTTGAAAACTCTCGTATACTCCATCAGGAACTTAGATACCATTCACACCTGTGCCAAGAAATATTAAATATTAAAACCCATTCAACTCTAAATACCAGAAATGTCAAGATTTACAAAACTCTGTGATAATGTGCTTGTAAATTTTAAGCAGAATGTTTCGCCAACATGATCAGCTCAATTACTGTGTTGTTTCGACAATTTATTCAGTATAAATAGTTTTTAAGTTTAAAAAATGTAGACAGTATGGTTGTGTATCTTATTATTCAATTTAGCTGGAATTTTGAAGATAATTGTAATCTTTCTTAAGTGAATTCTTACTTGTCCATTGAATCAGAATGTTTACTTCTGAGTCGGTCAGGGTTTCGTACAGTTTCCCTGATCCTTAAGCAAATGCTGAGATGGCCCCTGTTTTGCCTCTAGACATAAATGAAACTTCAAATTAACCTCTCCCCATAGCACGTCACACACACGTTTTTAACTGTTTTTGATATAAATAAATACATTTGACATGATGTATAATGCTATGTGCGGTTTTCAAATATTCGATTGTATGTTATTCTGTATTGAAAGTTTGTTTGTGTGTCTAGAATCTGAAGATGGAGGAAACAATGCACCTCCGAAACATTATTAGCAGTTAATTGGCGGATAAAAATTTGTATTTTTTTAGATGTCAGTTTAAAAAAATTAAATAATAAAATAATAGGTGATTGTCGAAAAATATGTGGACCTTTCAATGATAAAAAGTACCTAATTAAAGACAATCTATACCGCAAAATTCAATTACAAAGATTATTCTACGTATACCAGATTGCAGCCGTTGAATTGAATTACATTTTATTATTATAAAAAAAACGAAGGCTTACCT